GTGTTCTGGAACAGTGTTGTAAATAAAACTTAACCACTGATTTCTAGTCGTGTCCTCTTTTGGAAGGCCAAACAAAGTAGTTTTGCTTTCACAACGAAACACACGGCGGGCTAGAGTGAGCGGCGGCGGGCGGGATTAACGATCTAAACACATGGTCTAAAGCGCACGGCACAAGTGCACTTAGGGCGTGTCCGAATCCACTTTTGCTAGTTTAAGGACGGGAAAAATGGTCGGCGCGCCCGGCGCTCGGTCTAAAAGGGTTGTCCCTATTCTCTTAATGAGTCATGGGTGTGTTTTGGCTGTAACGTGCCATAAACCAATCAGTCTCATCTCCCATTCCCTTTAAGAGCCAGTTGCGCTCGCGCCGATATATTTGCTATTTACACGGCGGAATTTACAAGCGGAAAAACTGAACGCTTCTCTAGCGAGGAAACGGATCTGCTTGTGCGCGTAATTCTGATACATGCAATGACTATCCATTATGACATGTAGGCATTTTTATATTTATGTACACAATAATAATATTTTACATTTTAGTCCTTTAATTTTTAATTTTTAAAAATGTTTGTGTGCTGCTGCGCATCCCTGTGTGTGTGTAATAAGCAGAGTGTACACGCGTTGTTCACCCGCCTATCGGCGCATATTACTAACACGCTCTTTAAATAACAAAAAAAAATATATTGCACCAGACTTTAGACCAGGTTTCAGTTGGTCAATGGCACAGTCTATGCCAGTTGCCTCAAAATAGCAACGCGCCAGCAATGCGCCTGAACACACCTCATTTTCAGACCAGTAATGGCGCAAATGCATTTACTATTTAAACAATGTGGCGCAGGACGTGAAAATTGTAACTGTCGGGCTGAAACTAGCAAAAAACATTGTGCCAAGTGTATGATAGGGCCCTTAGTGTCTCTTTTGCTGTGGTATTGAAATTGGAATCAAGAATTGTAAAATTTAACTGGCGTCTAAAATGTTGGTGTCATACAAGCTTATTTATTAGAATACTATATAGCATGGGTCAAAAACAACAATTCGTTTTTTGTTTTTTTTCCCACTTGGCAGGGCCAGTGAAAATGTTGGCGGGGCAAGTAAAAATTTGAACCACTGTCCCGAAAAAAATCCTTAGCACTGGGTCTGTAAGATGTTTTTATGTTTTTGAAAGAAGTCTCTTTTGTTCTCTAAGGCTACATTTATTTAAAGGAAAATACAGTAAAAACTGTAATATTGTGATATTATTACAATTTAAAATAACCGATTTCTGTGTGAATATATGTTAAACTGTAATTTATTCCTGTGATGCAAAGCTGTATTTTCAGCATCATCAGCATCATTACTCCAGTCTTCAGTGTCACATGATCCTTCAGAAATCAGTCTGATATGCTGATTTGCTGCTCAAGAAACATTTCTTTCAAAAAAGAAAATCTTACTGACCCCAAACATTTAAATGGTAGTGTAGAATATAAAAACGCTATAAATAACTACATAGAAAAATTGTTAGTTTACCGGACTGATCAAACAGGCTGAGAAGTGTCGCAGCATCTTGTAACATTAAAACACAGAACAAAACAGTAGTATAAAAGATGAAAGAGCACATATAATATGATTGTGTACCGTTGTCCGCTGTCCTGCATGTTCCTATAGCGCAGTGTGTCTCACTCCCATGCATGCTAAATCTCTCCGCCACTGAGATGAGACCCCTAATCCATCCTTTTAATCATTTATGGACATATTTATTTGCTATAAATATAAATATATCTCGGAGCCCTGTCACAACACCTGCTCTGTCTGTCTTTGCTCAGTCTGCCACTTTTAATTGTCCAGTTATGTCCACTTGTTTTGTAATTTAATCCTCCGCAGCAGCAAGCTAACTGAGATTTCAATCTGAGTGAAAACAAAAGGATTCAAGTTTAAGCTTAATTAATTTAAAGTTAATTTAGATTTATCTTAAAATTAAAACCATGATTAAAATTAGGGTTTAAGGCAAACCTGGCTATTTTAATTATTAGATAAATCATGATTTAATCATGATCAGTCTTTATTGGTGCAGACCACCCTAAGAGTAATATATATGCCAAAATGCTCAATTTAAACTTGAAATGAATGAAAATGTTAAAAAATGACTTTAAATGTTGAAGGTCAAGAGATCGGAGAACACGAGTGAAAAATGCCCAACAACAAATATTAACACCGGTATTCGGTATGAACCGGTATACCGCCCAGCACTACTCTCTGCAGCCTTACAGTGTGTTCACACCAGACGCGAATTTAATTATTCGCGCGAGTAGATTACATACAAAGTCAATGCAAAGACGCGAATGACGCGAAATGTGCAACGCGTTTGCCGCGAACGCGAGATATTCGCCTCAATCCCGTCTTTCGCGCAAGTTCAAAAATTTCAACTCGAGCGGAAAATTCGCCTGACGCGTTCTCGCGCAAGCCAATCAGCGAAGAGCTTATAGGCACGTCTGGTTGAATCAAACAATAGAAGAGAGCATTATTGCAGCCGTCTGTTATTATATAGGTCTGGAGCATAGAAAACAATTAAAATCAGTTGTAGTAGTTGTATTTTATTAGCATGGCTACAGAGATGCTGCTATCAATAATAGTAATATCAGTGTATATATACAGTAGTAAAATGTAACACACACATTAATACAGGATCCTAACGTTATTCATCCTCCTCTGGATGGTGCTGTGAACCCAGACACGTCTGCGTTTGGCTTTCCATTGTATTTGGGACTTTTTGACAACAGGTTCAAAACAGCGATTGTAGTTATCTACAACATGGTTGATCGCGCTGTTTTCATTCGCGCGAGTGACACGAAAAACATCCCGCGAGTAATCTAGAGCGAGTGACGCGATGCGCATATTCGCTTCGCGTCTGGTGTGAACACACCATTAGTCAAAACATTCCTTTGTTTGAAATGTTTGAAAATCCTAAATCTTTTAATATACAGGTTTAAATGAAAAGATTTCATTGATCTCAGACATTAGGGGACCCCATGTATTAACTTACTATTCTTTAATTTGTGTCTGTGCTTGAGCTTTAACGCTAAATATCTTATATTGATTTTTTTTTTATCACATTGTTACATCATGTTGATCTTTATAGGCTTGATTTGTGGGCATTATATCTGCATTTCTTATCGTCGCCGTCTTTTTTTGCAGGAGATGATTGTCGACAAAGTGAACGGCCAGCCCGTCCCGCGGTATCTCATCTACGACATCATTAAATTTAACGTGAGTGCCTTTCAGTAACAATAACAAAAACACACTCCTGTTTGTTCTTTATTTAATTAAGAATTGCTTTTGGCATTAGCACATGCTGAATTACCACGAGGTGTTGTTTATTATCCATCATATCTTTCCAAACCTCTATGAGTATCGTTTGTGAATCACAAAAGGAAAGGTTTAGTGTCAGATACTGTCAGCTCTGGAAAGAACAAATGCAGCTCTCAGATTTAATTCACGAATGTTACATTAAAAATGTCACCTTTAGACACAGCAGGCTTGAATTCAATAATAATCTTCTACTGTATAATCTTCCTATCAGCTGAATAATTATTATTTTTCTTCTGAATATGTGGAATATAGCACATAAGTCAGGTGCATATTTTGTCCTTTCTAAAGCTTGTCTATATAAGTTATATATATAGACTATATATAATTTCTATTTGTGTTGCACAGAAGCAAGTAAGTCATTAGTTTTGTATAGGGCTTTTTACAATACATTCGAGGAGCTTTAAGTGTGATTTATTTAACATGCAGTGTTGAATCATAAAGAATGTGTATCAGGACAAGATAGGGCCAGCTTTGATTTCATATTGACTGGATGCTAATAAACTATGTTGTTCAAGTTTTGTGTTTTAAGTTTTGGGAGGAAATGAGTATATCGTTGAATTTTCTTGCATCATTTTCTGTTTCTTGAAGTGCAGTATATCCATCAAATAAATCCAGGCAATCACATGGTACACAGTCTGCATTTGAGACGGGACGCTTGGATATGTCTTGCTTGGTTACCATACTGAAAGGAAAATTTTTCCAAAATGCAGCTTTGATCCGTCATTTTTTAAGATTGATGCCACAGGCAAGCAGTGTGTAAATATAGACTGCATATTAATTGAGCCTGTCCAATGATGTGTCGGAAGACTAATATTCAGTTGAGTTACAGTGCTCGCATAAGCACTATGTATGTGTCACCAGCTGAATTTATTACATTTTTATTTAAAATATGAGTATATTAGAGACTAATGCAGATATGTTTTCTAAAATACTATAAATTCTAATATTTTGTGGAGCACAGCTGGAGTTCTCATTGACAAGCAGCATGTGGGAGATTCTTGAGTTTGCTGTGTTTAGCTGCTCTCAGTGTTAGTAAAGCGGCCCGTCCTCGTTCTGAGTGTGTTGTGAATCAATTAGTTAACTAGAAGTGGCCCGTGTCCCTCCACATGCTCTAATCTTACTCTTCCTATGCAACAGAAAAATCTTTTAATTAGTTAGTCATGGTTATTTGTCCATAAGATTATTTTATGTACAGTATCATTCAAAAGGTTGGGGTCAGACAGTTTTTTGTTTTTGAAAGAAGTCTCTTCTGCTCACCAAGGCTGAATTTATTTGATCAAAAACAGTAATACTGTAGAATATTATTACGATTTAAAATGACTGTTATCTATTTGATTATATGTTAAAATGTAATTTATTCCTGTGATGCGCAGCTGTATTTTCAGCATCATTACTCCAGTCTTCAGTGTCACATGATCTTCAGAAATCATTGTAAGATGCTGATTTGCTGCTCAACAAACATTTCTGATTATTATCAATGTTGAAAACAGTTGCGATGTGTCAATGTTTTTGTGGAAACTGTGAAACATTTTTTAGGATTATTTGATGAATAGAACAGCAATTTTTTTAAACAGAAGTCTTTAGTGACATTATAAATGTCACTTTTGTTCAAGTTAATGCATCCTTGCTGAATGCATACTTCATAGATGCAAACTCCTCACCTTTCGGTGAAAGTTCACCTTTTTGGGATCAAAATAGGTCACCTACGAGATTAGTGTCGATCCGATGAGAAAATGTTTGGGTTTTTTTTGGTCACCCGCTTTCAAACGCTCCTGTGTGTTTTTGTGTGCGCACTCTGGTTTCGAATTACAAAACCAAAAGTTTCTATTTACAACGTGTTTTGCAGCGTTGAGTATTGTAGCCAATCACAGGCATCTCTGTTGAACGCAGTGGCCAATCAGAGGTGTTTACTGTAGGTTAGTCAGAATCCCCTGTGATCTAATTTTTGTTTTCGCAAGTTTGCGTAGTTCTACACACTCACAGATCTTCCTATTATCACAAGACAAAAAGAAAGCATACACGATGTAAATAAGATATTCATTGTATAGTTAGTTATCGATTATATCAGGAGTTTCCGCGCGAGTAAGCTCGGACAGTTACGCTTTAAGGGAAGCGCCCTTTGCTCGGTTTTTACTTCATTCACAGTTTGCAGAAAAGTGTAAGAGAACCAAACCGTCCATGTATACTGTTTCAGGAATGACAAATGCGAGTGTAAAAAAATTACGCGAGTGAATCCGCCAAATTGATCCGCGATTGATGGTGATAACTGTAGCAATGGACGGAACGAACTATCTGACAAGCCGATAGACAGCTGTGCTTTAAGTGATGCAGAGTAAATTCAGAGTAATAAAACTACAGCAGCAACAAGTCTGTTGCCTTTAGCAGCTTCTACAGGTAAAAATAAGTTAAAGCACTCTTTTTTTGATGTGTCCTTTTTTAGGCAATGTTTGAAAAATGTAGTTTTTATAAATTAAATATAAAAAAAAAGCCAAAATATTTAATGCATTATTTAATTATTATACCATTAATAATTAACTTAACTTGTAGTTAACTAGTTAAGTATAATTTTTTTTTTTATCATACTAGGCTGTTGGTGTCTGGGCTTATTTATTTATTTATTTTTAAATGACATGAGACTTTGTGACTTCCTGCACTTGCTATACTTCATAGTCATTTTATGATAAATCCAAAAGTAAGATGTGAGAAAAACTATGGAGTTGAAATAGCAACTGAGCTAATGTGTGATCCTCTGCTGCCATCTACTGGATATAATGGTAATGTCATATCATTTTCATCTTAAGTCTTTGTTTTCCACCAGGAGACATTTTTTTCCTGTCTTCATGAATGAAAGTGA